CGCTACAGACGGGCCACAGAAGCCGCGCGACACACTACAGATGGCCAACAGAAGCCGTGCCACACGCTACAGACGGCCCGGCCGCGGACGCCGCGCCACACGCTACGGACAGCCCGGCCACAGGAGCCGCGCTACACGCTACAGACGGTCCGGCCACAGAAGTCGCGCCACACGCTTTTGACGGTCCTGCTACAGAAGCCGCACCACACGCTATAGACGGTCCGGCCACAGAAGCCACGCCACACGCCACAGATGGCCAACAGAAGTCGCGCCACACACTACAGGTGGCCTGCAGAAGCTGCGCCACATGCCGCAGACGGCCCGCAGGAGCCGCGCCACACGCTATAGACAGCCCGCAGAAGCCGCGCCACACGCCACAGACAATGCGCTGAAGCCGCGGTGGCAGGCCCGGGGGCTGCCGTCGTCAGTTGCTGACGTGGATCTGCGTCAGCGGCGGTGCCGAGCGCCGAGGTCCGTGATCAGGTGGCGTGTTCCGCTGGCACCCAGCGGCCCGTCCATCGGCACCGCCATCCGGACGGGCTTGTATCATCGCGCCTGCCATGGCAGGCCGCTGTACATGGTCCGCACGTTCCTGGAGCGCGCAGGCTTTTACGCCGCGAAAACGAAGCCCGCTCCGCTTGACTGACGCCTGCCGCTGTCGTCAGGCCGAGCCAGGCCGCGAGCAGTCGCGCCCCTGTCGCGGCCGTGAGGCGTGGTGTTGAGCCGGCGCCGAGCGGGCCGGCTGCCCCCCGCCGCCGCGCGGACCGGTACCGGGACTTACTCGCCCCGTTTACTTCTCGGAGAGGCTCCAGTCGTGGTTTGGAGCTGAGCGCCTGACGCGTGCTGCCAAGCACGGAGAGCGTGAATAGTCCCATGCGACTACTCGGCAATGATGGCGAAGGATATCAAGGATTTGAATAACACGCATGCCTAGAGGAAAACCCCGAGCGTTATTCCTTGCCAAACTCATGAATGCAATATTTATTTCTGGGGAGGATTCCGTCAGTTTCTGCTTGTCCCGCAGGTGCCATGCGGAGCGCGCCTTGCCCAGCCTCTCCCTATCTGGGCGCAAAGAGTTCTGTGGCAATAGACTGCGAACAGCCGGCGTCATGGCGGTTCAAACGTTGTGGGTCTTCAGGGCAGACCAGTTGACACAGAGCAGCCGCGGCTACTGCTTACCGCACGTACATGCACAGAGCACGAGACGTCACGTTTGTCTCCTTTATCGCGATTTCCTGCTGCAGTCCGTGCTGGTAAAACACACTAAAAAAAATCGACCAAAAAGCTTAAAAATGTTTTACCATCACGTGCACTGTTCTGCAAAGCCAGCTTTCACCAAACGTCCGGTACAGCGAGTGTGAGCCCCTGACCTTGCCGTTTGACTGCACCCATTCACCATGTGCACTCACGCACTCACAGGGATGCCTCATTTTTGGCGCAGCTGGCGGCCAGGCCAGAGATGCGAGGCCGGCGGGGGTCGGGCGCCACAGCAGGGGCGCTGCGCATGCTGTCCGGGACGGCTGGGAGCGCGGGCTCCTACCGGTGTTTTATTCGATGGCTTTGGGTGATGCAGGATGTCAGACAGTCTGCTTCAGGAGTCCAGGAGTCCAAGGAGGCCCGGCATTGAGTGGTGCAGGATGTCAGACAGTCTGCTTCAGGAGTCCAGGAGTCCAAGGAGGCCCGGCGACGACGTGCAGTGTGCAGTTCAAGATTAGTATGTGCACACTGTTGAACGTAACGTCAGGCGCCAGCACGTCTGGCATGAAGTCATCCGCGAGCATGTCGCAGAGAGTGGAGAATCAAGTTATCACTGTGTTAACCTACACGATTATATACGCATTGCTAGGAATATGCATGGAATGTTTTAATCGATAATTACATGCCTTAAATTGTCACCAAGGTAGAAGGGCCTCAATTCAACCATTCCTTTACAAAAACCTTGTTCTTTTCATACGTCACCTAACGCCACCTGAAAGCTTGTCAGTCTGACAGGCTCGTTGGTAGACAGCAATCAGCTGTTACGTGACATTGGCCAGGCACTTGCCAGTCTATCACAACGCACATTGAAACGTCATGCACGCTCCATTTTCCTCCAGCCGTGCGTCCATATCAGGTAAGGCATGTAGGTACCAGCCACCTACTGAAATGTTTATCTAGCGCTACGTCGGTGTAATGTGGTGCAGGAGACACATAACCTGGGCAACATTTGCCGGAGGATCATCACTATTCACGTAACAGTGCAATGAGGAAGGCTGCAAGCATGACTGAAGGCTTGCAGCACCGTCACTGTATATCTTGAACACCGAACATCTCCGTTCAACAGGATCAGTCTTGACTGAACCCGAAATTTGAGGTCAACTTTGCAATAACTTACCACTCAACCACCTGTTTTCTTTATATACACGAGCCAAAGAAAATCAAGTGGGCAAGTTATCCTAAGTCTCTCTGAAGGCGCACAGACAAAGGATTTATTAGCTGTTTCGGTTTCATGCCGAGTTTATTGAGAATACTCTGGCATGCGATGAGCAATTGGTATACGGCTAATAAATACAAGAAATAAAACACACTGAGCTGGGAGCTGCGTGTTCTTTACACGGGCTGCAACAGGAAACAGCACAAGCAAGTGCGCTGGTGGACCCGGGTTCATCGCGGTTTTGTCGGTATTAGCCCGAACTGATTCCCACCGAGCGGTGAGGCGGCCGGTTTTCCCCGACCTGCGCTCGAGCGCGCCGCGGCCCACCGTCGGCTGGCTCTGCAGGCGTGAGGCGCAGGTCTGTCACGAGCAGCTGCCCTCCTAACCAGTCTGGGGGGGGGGGGGGGCAGCGAGCGTTGCGCCGACCGCTGTCACATGGTATCCAAAAACGGGAAAACATAAGCGCATTGTGCCAACCACAGCTAGGATTCCGTCAATGCCGGCTCGTTATGCCGGAAGTGATGGCTCCATGGAGATCGCAGGCCGTCGCTGTGAACCATGTAATCATGGCGAGTGAAAACAGACTTGTGAACGCCACGTTAGTGAGACGTCAAGCAAGACTGGTGATGCCAGACGTCTTTCATTTCCAAGCACCATGAAAGGAGAAGGGCGGGGTAACTGATGACATGGACTTCGGGAAAAGTTATAGAAAATGGTGACAATGCGCCAGGGTATAAATCGGTGAAAAATGTAATGCGCGTGCCATGCACCAATCACGGCAGTCACTGTCATGTATCTGCTTACCCGTGGACGTAGGTAGGTAACAGTGTGACGTTGCTTTATCATACTCGTGGCATCCCTTTAACTGCCTGGCTCTCTGAGAGTACTCAGCCACGCCAGTGCCAATCAGCCTGGTGGTAAGGTTGGAGTATCTAGCCGAGTCCCGTTCCATAATGTTCCTCGCGCACACTCAACGTAAACGGTCGCACTCTTTGCAAGTAACTAGCGTAAATACAGAACATCCTAGTGTAACACAGGACAGATTTATGGCATCCTTGCCGGACTTCGTATCAGCAGCTGCACCTCCCATTCTCTCTGTGTGCCGCCTCAGACCGCGTCAAACAACCGACTCGAGCGGGAGGGGGGGGGGGGAGGGGGCTTGAGGGAGAACGGTGCTCGTTGGATGGGCGTGCATGAACAATTTCCTTTGTCAAATATGAAAAGGGAAAAGTCTATAACTTCAAACGGTAGCATCACTCGTCTACGGTTCTCAGTACCGTGTGATTTCTTGTGGGTCCAAACGCATGACTCTCTTTTAAATGCTTCTCAAAATAAAAAGTGGGAACCCTGTAAACAAAATTTCAGTGGTCTGGTGTCAAAAATGGCCCCTCGTTTGTTGAAGTGGCATGAAATGAGCAATATGCGAGGTGACATAATGGGGTTAACTCAGCCCTCTGTCGGAATTTTCGTGCTTTCCCTGTTGCTGGATAAAACAGACGGACAGGCAGGGAGAGCTCTCTATCTTTCTACCCATCCTTTAATATCTGTTGCACGTGATTGCCATCAAGCTCCTGTGGTTATGCTGGCAGTTTTCGGAGCCTTCATAGTTGAACGACGCAAAGAATTGGACGTGTCTCTTGGCGTGCTTAGTCGGGACAGCTCGTGACAATTGTTTGGTTTGCATGGGAAACATCGAAACGATCGGTTTCACTCCATAAGTGCTATCGGTAATAGCTGACAACAGGACTGCTGCAGGAATGTTACATTCTTGGACACATTATGGTTGCACGTCTGTTGCAATGGTTACGAACCAGTCATGTTGATAGCTCTATGATGCATGGGCCCAGAAAATCGTTTGAGCAAAAAGCTATGTGTGAGAATATGCCATGCACAAGAGTTGTTGACGTAGAGGGAGGCGCATGCTCAAAATGCCAGGGAGTTTTTGCCTTGTCGTGGATTTAAGTCATTCTTGGCAGCATCAAGAAATCAACGAAAGAATAACGCAAAACTGCACTGTGTGTGCGAGAAAACGAGAGAATAACAAGCTTCAGTGAGCGTTGCTGGCTGTTATCCGGGGGCCTGCGTACATAACAACCGCAGGGGCACGTGTCCTCTCCTCACCAAGTTTACTCTCGGACAAAATGTTGGGTGTTAAAAGGCATCAAGTAGACACGAATGAATAAGAAGACCAAGAACACACGATGTTGTTCTTCGACACGTAAAAACTTTCGGGCGCCGGCATTGTGTGAAACTCGGTGATCAGTAAACTTTTGTGAGTTGTGCTCCCCCTAACATTGCGAAGCCTTCGCTACGCTCCCACCGTTACTTGACAGGACTGAGCGCCGGTCGCTGCGTTCAATCACCTCATCATCAGCAGCACTGGTCACAGCCCACTGCTCCCCGATAGAGGCATCATCAGATCTGCGTCGTCCGGCGCCGCTGGAGACGAGCGTGTCTCGCCGGCAGCGCCATCACTGGCGCGCCTCGCTGGCGGAGGCGGGCAGCCACCCCCGCGCCCCGGGCGGGACGGCGGCGGCGGCGGCGGCGCTAACCCGGCCCGCCGCTCAGTAGCGCCGCGTCGGCCCGAGCGAGAGGGCGGATTGCGGTACGGGCTGCAGCGATGGACGCCGTGGACGCCGCCAGTGGGCCGTCTCTGTGATGTGGCGCGTGCGGGTCGCCATGCGGCGCCGCTGGTCGGTGCTGGCGGCCGTGCTGCTGACGCTGGCCGTGGCGGCGTTGGTGAGCGGACCCTGGTCGCCCGCCGCTGAGCTGGGCCGGGCCAGCGCCGGCCCGGCCCTTCCGCTGAAGGCCCCATCCGCCTCCCAGCCGCCACTCGAGTTCTACGGCGCCGCCCGCAACCTCTTCTCAAGCGCGTCCAGGCCAGTGACAGAACCAGGCGCACCGGCCCCGCCGGCACCTGCCGCCGGCGCTCCGAGCCAGACTGCCCCTTCGCTGGGAGAGCCGAGCTCCCAGGCTCCTCCGGCAGGCCTAGTGAGCCCCAGCGACCTGAACGGCCCCGCCGCGTTAGGAAGGCCGAAGGAGCGCTCCTTCGAAGGCTACGACCGCGAGGTGGACCGCGTGGAGGCGGCCGACGTGCCGCCGCTCTCGGACGACTGGCTGCGCGACCGCGAGCGCGTGTACGCCGAACGTCGGCACAGGCTGCGGCGCACCTGCGAGCGACTACACATCCGCCTGGCCGACTCCAACACCGAGAGGAGCGTGCTGCCCCAGCCGAGCGAGCCGTCAGGTGAGGACGCTGCGGTCCAGAAGGGTGTGCCGCGGTCGGAGGCGGCGCGTGTCAAGCTCCGAGCTCCGGCTGAGCTTGCTGAAGCGGCCGACGACCTGTACAATACTTGAATGCTCGGCGAACCATTGAAACGAGCGAGAGCTTCACGTTGTATTTGTGGAGGAAAACCCTGGTTTGATGTGAATCGTTCACGGGCAAGACTGGCGACTATGAGGAAAAGGAAATGGGTTCAATCGATTTTCGTGCTGGCCTCTTGGATGGCTCTCACGCGTCGCCCTCTTCAGCTGGCATGTCCACTTGCCAAGAACCAGTTGCCACCATCCTGCGTGGGGAATTTTGGACAGACAGAAAGCATTGCGATTTTCGCACGCTGCAGCGCTGCAGTCACCCAACTTCATTTGCAGCAGAGTGATAGACGGTATACTAATATTTTCCATTCCATTATGCCAATATGTTCTGTGGGTTATCAAACGGGGTCTATGCCATGACGATATAGTTGATTGCATGATGCCTGTGTGGTGAAATTGGGTCTAGACGCATTGCGTCGGGCTAGTTACGAAGCTGCACTGTCAAGTTTTGGCACAGGGCCATGTTTATGGTCCCAGTGCTGACCACGGTCGGTTGTCTTGTACGTCGTTTGGGGCCGCCTCATTGCAGCTGAAGTCCCTCGCGAGGCCGAGCGCGGCTACAGTTCTCAGGCACTCTCCGCTGAGGGGTAGCAGGCGTCTCCCCCTGGAGTGTTGGCGATAAAGCGCCAAAGTAGCGAAGTTCTCAGAGTAATGGCGAGGGAATAAACATCCAGTGATAAGCCACAACACAACATGAGCCTGGCGATTTCTGAAAATTCCAGAAATTAAATCAAGCGCGCCAGCGAACAGGCTCGGAGGAGTGCGCTGAGCGCCAGCGTCCCACTCACCGTCCGCTGCATGGAAGGCGCGCGCCGGCACCAAAACAATACATACATTCATGAGCCGGCCTGGGAGAGCGGCACGAGCGGCTGCGGGCGTCTGCTGGCGGCAGCCTGCAGCCGCCTGCAGGTTATTCACCCTGGGCGAGCGGTGTTGACCGGCCGGGCAGCGGTGTGTGACTCCCGGCTGCGGCCCGCCGCCCAGAGTAGGCCCGATGCGGCGACAGGCCACAGATCAGCCTCGCCCAGGCTGTCACGAGGCGACGGCACGGGTGATGTGTGTGAGGCGCTAGCAACGGACGCGCGTTGTCGTCCCGGTGGTCCAGCGGAGATGTCGGACGTTACGAGGATAAGCCGGCCGCGGGCGCTGCGTGCTGTCACCGGCTCTGCCAAATCCATAGCTGTCAAGAAGATGAAAGCACTCACCACGGCAGCCGTGTTGGCCTGACTGGGACGACCCGACCTCTCAGGTGACCCAATTGCCACACGAATTGGGTCTCATGAATTTTTTTGTGCCGACGCCACCAGCGCAAATAGGAGCTTGCATAACTAGACCCAGGCAAGTAACCTGGTGCAGCGCTGTTTGGCTGCAGGCTCGTGTGCCTTCCTATGGTGAGGGCACACTGCTCGTGCAAACGTGTGGATGGATCCCAAACCGCACGACCTCGATTGACTCAGCAAGGAGGCGATACTTAGCATGCCCCGAACTCATGATGGACCTTGCTCATTAAAATCTGGCTTTACCTGAACTCATCCATGTGCCTTTGACCGCTAATATTAACGTCAACGTTTGCATTGCATGCTTGCATCGGCTTTGTCAGCACGTGACCCGCTGCGCAGAGGCTCTGATGGTCACTTGACATAGTAACTCTACGATAATTTGTGCCGCAATGGCTGGACAGCCATGCAAGTCTTGAATTAGTTTTTGTGTCAAGGTAATACGTTCACGTCCCATTTACATTCTGTGCCGTGCTTCTAACTTGATTTTCTGAGCTCTCTGGTTATGATCATGCATTTGCTGTTCTTTCAGACCATTGAGCGGTGTACGATAGGTTCATTTCAAAACTGGATATGATAATTGGCATTGTTCAAAACAGGTATCTCTATTTTTAAAAACATCAAGAACTCAAGTTTACTCAACTATGGGAAATACGGAGGAATAAGAGCGCTTGCGATAAACAACGCATAGTGATATACACCTAGTACGCAATGGAAAAGAACTTGGTTGGAGGATGATTTGAGCGAGAGCAAGTAAAGAAAGGGTGATACAGAATAACGTCAAATTTTCAGACACATCACGCACGCTATTGTTACGATTATCGTGGTAGCTGAATGGATATTAAGATAAGCAGCTTGTCTGACTTATGCCATGGTCAAGTGTCATTCGCTGACATATGGCTTCGTCTCTATTTTTGCAAATCTTCGATACAGTAGTGCAAAACACCAGACTGTGAGCGGGACAGGAGCCTGGTATTTCTGAGCATCGCCGCCGTTAATTGCTGTCACGATGATTATGCGTGCGGTAAGGAGCGCTGATCATGCTGATTGATGCTGCCGTCAATTGCTGTGGCTCGCTGTTTCAAAAAAGAACCCTCAAAAGTTAAGTGTGATCTGCAGGTAATTTTAAATTTATTACTGATTTTCGTTTCGGTAAGGACATGTAGCCAAAATATCAATACATTTACCTCCTTGATCTCTGAAAAATATGGCTTAAGTACTGTCTTATCTATATGTAAAATGTTTCTCGCAAATGCACTTAGGAATTTTATCAGTTAGCATTTAAGTCAATTACTCAGCTTTGGCCTTCCAGCTAATTTAGCCGTATTTTCGACAAACTTGAGCCGTGTGATTGCGTGCCTCCGTAACGCTTTGTTTTTGAAGTGAATAGGAATCTAACATGGATTTCAAGGCATGCGCGCGTGGCCAGTTAAATGCAACGCGCTTGGCTGAGGCGGGGTTGGGGTTGGGGGTAATTTGAGCCCCCTGAGATCACAAAAGCTGAGGAAAATACGAAGCCCAAGCTTGCAGGGTGGGTAGGCCTGTAATTAAACACACCTAAATTGCGAAATCTCTAGGTTATGACCTTCGGGTAAACAATTCAAACAAGTTCAAAAAATAAATCGGTGTCCCGAAGTGCCTCCAAACCTCTTAATGCAACCGGCTGTACAATATACCTGCTCTAAGCAAAAAGTAAATAATGTTCATTTCAAATCATATAACTTATTTGGCCTTGCGAAGGTCACAGTGACCCAAAACCTACGAGATTGTTTTGATTTTTGAATTGAGATAAACATGACAGATTGCGTAGACGTTATTTACCTAAAAAAAAGGTTGATCCGGACATTTTAGGTCAGCGACTTCCTTTGACTCTCAAAAGATTCAAATAAAATGTTCGTTGACGTCACTGTCATCACAAAATCGAAGTGAGCATCAAAAACTACCACGTAAAACATGCTATTTAGTGAAGAAGCAGGCTGTTTTTTATCTCGATCTAACTTTCATGCCTGACCCAAGGTCAATGTAATTAGTCATAACCCTGAATCTAATTGGCTTATTGTCTAGAAATATATCCCAGGAATGCATGGCTTCGTCTGACACCCCATTGTCACATCACGTTTAGCGCTTCCACAGGTATTGCCCCGCTTACAGCCATGGCCCGCCTTCGATCTGTCAGAGGTCAGCGATCTGGCATGGTGTATCTAAGTGCCGTGCCAAGAGGGTCACTATTCAATAGCCTATAGCTATGCAAAACGTGGTGAGTTCACGCCGTGCAGGTCGGCATTCATTCTGAAAGACCCTCGGAGTCAAATTAAGCCCCAATTCCTATACGAGCATGTGTCAACATTGGATTAAATCCGAGTTGCCGTGCTTGACTGCAGGCAAGATTTAATCCTTACATCTCAACGTCGAATTTCAGTCTTCTACTATTTTGCGTGAAAATTGTGCTGCCTTAGGATCTTCTCAGATAGAAGAAAACCTCGATATAATGCTGACTTGGGTGTAGGAATATACGTCAGTTTAAAATTACTTCAGCGATGACGTTCAGAGCGCTACATGTCGACGTGAGCTGGCGGAGAACCAAAAATCCATTTTTTCATGCCCATCGGATTTGTTTATAAAAAGAACTCTGGTGGGATAAGCGAGCTGCTGTAGAGAAGCCCCAGGTACTCATTCCCAAAACTACGAAAAAAAGCTAACCAAGTCACGTCACTCTTGTCAGAAAAGGATGAAAGAGACGGTGCCATGGGGTCATGGTTTCATACGTAAAGGGGCAAGATACTGGTGCCGGGTCTCCCAACATTCCTCTCCCTGTTGCCGACACCCCTGCACGCCCCAGCTACGTATTTTTACCATGCTGCAGCAGGAGCAAATCAAACGTCCCTCGTATTATTGGGCCATTGTTTTGGCTGGAAGCTGTGGTCCTGCTTACAGGCTGTCAGCTGCCGCTCAGATATGAGGTGCGGCATGAAAACAAACTACGGAACAAACAGACAAACAGCAGCGGAACAAACAAACAGCGGAACGAGGTAAAGACGCGATTCTGCCAACACGGGCCTGGCGTTTGGCGATGTTGTCAGGGATGGAAGGGTGTGCGGCCAAACAAGTCCAACGTGGGATGAATGCAGTCTGCACCCACGGTATGTGTCGCCAAATAAGTCCAACGCGGGTTGAATGCACTCTGATCCTACGGTATGTGTCTGTTACGTTAACACTTCACTCGCGTTTGTCAGTGGTGCGGAGCTTGCCGATGGTTTTCTGACCGGAGAGGTCGACGGCCCGGAAGATCCAGACGGGAGATGCCTCGCTCTGATGGCCGAGTGGCTCTGCGTTTCACCTGCACTGGGCTGTGCAGTCGTTGAAGTGGGCTGCCTGCTTCACCGGTCATGTAAACCTTCGCCGCTCTGTCTCGTCGAACAGCACGGCGTGCTCCAGCTGCCCTGATGTGTGGTAGCGGATTGTTCTTCCCCCACTCCCCTCTCGTCTCACCTCCAGGCGTCCAGGTGGGTCCTTAACGTCAACGCCCTTCTGTGGTACCGGCCCCAGGGATCGCGCAGGCGTGTTTTTTTTTGTCGCCGACCGCCAGACCTTGGCT